ACTACATAATTCTTACTGCAATCATATTGTGCTAAATATACTGGACTGCATGACCCTTATGATACGTAAGTCAATAGGAGATATCTCTTCATCGGCTATAGATGAAAACCTCTAAATGGAGTTTAACCCAATGATTATTTATGACCTTTTTAATATCATTGTGTGTGCTGTTTTCAGTCAGAAGCTTATTGTTGGAGCTATACATTATCTATATCTGTAAAAAATAAGTCAAGGCAACTGGACTTGCTGTATTTTTCTTGAAGACGATTCACTGGACATCCGACCAGCTTCCTTAATTCAGAATGACTTGTCCCAAAAATTATTTGGGAATAAATATGGGGAATGTTGCTCCAATCCACATAATCTGTTAGTCACAACCAGGTGTCGATTGCATTTGCATAATTGGAGCTAGGAGGTGTTATTAACCTGCCCAGAGAGAGTTGTTAAAACAGCATTGTATGTGGCAGACAGTAGATGCCTTACCCTCCCCCCACCCCCCACCTCTATTCAAGTTTGGCTTCTCCATTTTTACATAAATGGCCTCTTTCACACCTCTTTTAAACCAGTCCTCCTCCGTATCGAGGATGCATACTTGACTGTCTTCAAAGAAATGACCTTTTTCCTTTAGATGTAGGTATACTGCTAAATGCTGACCAGAGGGTTTGGCTCTTCTATGCTGTGCCATACGCTGGTATAGCTGATGTTTTGTTTCACCGACATACAATTCTGAGCACTCCTCACTGCACTGGACTGCATACACTGTACAAGTGGAAAACATTCACAAGAGGGCCCTCCTCAACTCGGGTGCACAAGTGACTCAGCTATACCAGAACTTTTATGACAGGCACCTGGGGTATCTGCCCCTACAAGACTTAAAAGATTTAGAGATCTGGGGCATCAGAGGGATAACCTCTAAAATGGAGTGATTCTGGCCAGCAGATAATTAGATATCACTCGAATATAAAGACAGACTCCAGGCCCAGGTCTTGGGATTGCAAGAGTTGCTCTCTCAAAAAACGAGTTTGATTTGAGGTGTGCAAAGAGTACCCAACATCGTATAAGCTTGCAGGAAGGCAAGCCATTCAGCCTACCCCACTGGGAGATCTGGAAGACTTGAGAGAGCAACCGTCAGAACTAAAGAGAACTAGGATCATCAGAGGGCCCAAAAGTCCATATTCTTCTCCCATAGTGATGTAGAAGAAGAATGGCTCCATCAGGATATGTGTTAATTACCAACCTTAAATCATAGAATTATTCCAGCCAGTATACCACTCCACAAATAGAAGACACACTGCAATGCCTGTCAGTCCAAATGGTTCGGTGTTCTGGATTTTAGGAGCAGATATCACCAGATCCCAATGCACCCAAAACAGATAGAATACTACCTTCAAATGCCTGCTGGGTTTCTATGACTTCCACAGAATGCCTCAAGGACCCCTGTGACCTTTCAGCATCTAATTGGCTAACCATGGGAGATATGAACTTGGTAGAAGTGCTGGAGTTCTTGGGTGGTCTAATTGTCCTTGAAAGGATGCTGGAAAACATTTAGAAACAACTGTGAAAAGTGTTGAGAAGAGGTTTAAGCTTTCCTTAAAGAAGTGTCAGTTTTGCCAGCCGTCATCACCTATTTAGGGCATGCAATTTCTGCTGAAGGACAAGCCACCAGCTCCCAGAAGTTAAAGGCCTTTGCTTTATGGCCCAGTCCCCAAAATGTCACAGAGCTGAGATTGGTCCTGAGATTCTGCTCCTACTACAGAAGGTTTGTGAAGGGGTCTGCCAAGATAGCTTGACCCCACCCTATCAGGTTTTTAAAGCCAAATGGGTTAAGAGTCAATACAAGAAGAGTAGTTTGACTGATGTGAACAGGGATGCACCGAAATTAAATTTTGAGATCAAAACCGAAAATAAAAAATTTGTCAGGCCGAAACCGAAAATTACTTTTTTTTTCCATTCTTTTAAAAAATGTTAAATTATTCTTCACCTATTTTATTTTTATTTATTTTTTTACTTTACTGCTGGGGTTTTTAACATATATCAATCCTTGGGTCTCCCTAGCCCATTTTCCCTTCTCCATCCCATCTTCTTCCCCCTCCCCCTTCCCTCCCCCTCTCCTCCCACTTCTTCCCTCCCTTCCTTTATCCCCTTTTCCCTTTGCAAATGTTGATTGATATCATTTGTATGCATCCTAGCAGAGTATTATAACACTTCACCTGCTGTTGCTTTTCATCGCTTGGTTGCTGTGGTGTGCTCCTTTGACGCGACCCTCCTGCTTGGTAGTCAATGCCTGACTAATCATCCTTTTTTGAACTGGAATTGAATGGAACAGTTGGTTCCCTTTCTATTCTCTTATACCGCCTCTGCCTCAGATTGGTTGCTTGAGGAATTCTAACACGTAAGCCTTGAATATTGTTAACATTGATATGGCTGAAATTAAAGACATTCATAATTACCATGTTTCATAATGAGATGCAATCCCTGATATACTACATGTAGCTCTTTGTTTCTACCTAGGATATAAATTTTCTTGTTCCCCTGAAGAAGCCCCGATGGGCGAAACGTGTTCATGGGGACATCTATATGAAACATTATACTGTATATGTAGCCTTGGAAACTAATCGTTTGATCCAAAATTGTGTGGCATCGCTACCATGTGGTGAATGTATTAAGATATGTTTTATTCTATTTTTTAATCATGTTAATGATGATGTACTAAATAAATGTTTTTCTAAATTTTATATGGCGAGGTTTGGAATGTTTTTCTAAAGCCCCTTTCCCTCTGGGTAGTTGCACACCCTAGAGTGGAAATATTTTCTTCTTCCTCTATACATTACATACCGGGGTGTGAAACTTTTATTTCCTCTACTTCCATTTGCAATGCACGCCTACTAATGTTGACTTTTGACAATCTTCATCAAATAGCTGAACTAACCAAATACTTTGCATTCATTAATATCTTTCGTGCATGCAGAGGTTTCATGCAAAAAATGTGATGCAGTAGATGGTGGTATTTGAATGCTAAAATAAATATTTCCATCCTCACCGCAGAGCGTGCCTTGCAGGACAAATAGCAGGAGCTCATAGTGAGAAACAAAGTAGTTACACAATTCAGGCAGGAAGGATTTACAGAAAATAAGTGCAATAAAAACAGTGGTCACATGGTGGCAGCATAACCATGAACAATAAACCTAATGCTAATACATGCTGTCCGCTGTTTTTCTATTGGTAAGATTATTATTATTATCATCATAATACAGGATTTATATAGCGCCAACAGTTTGCACAGCACTTTATAAAATGGAGGGAGACAGTACAGTTACAATACAATATCAATACAGGAGGGTTAGGAAGGCCCTGCTCATGAGAGCTCACAATCTAGTAGTTCCATCCTAATTAGCAATTATTATTTTTTACTTAACTTTTTTGCTATCACAAGGGGGCTGGTATAGGGGGCTGGTCATGACTCCAACATTGCTTTAATGTAATTTTTTCCCTGCTCTTGTATTAAAAAGGCTACCTTGGTATCTAAAATTGCATGCACATTGTTATCAAAGGAATAAACATATATTCATATATTTCATATTAATAGAATATCTGATAAGATGTATTTATGGCCAATTGGTGGGGGGTTTGGTCCTGCTGTACAGTTTGTTTTTTCTACAGTCATTATTATTGAATTTTTAATACAATGAAAATAAAATATTCTCATTATACATGGACGCATGAGGCTTAACAGACCACATAAAATGAAGACAACCTTTTTATGCTATTTGCCACACTCTGCATACAGGTGAAACTCGAATAATTAGAATATCATGCAAAAGTAATTGCAGAAAGTGCTGCAAAAGGGGCCCAAACCAAGTACTGAGTACATATCCATGCTTGTACTTTTCAGAGGTCCGATATTGTTCTATGTACAATCCTTGTTTTATTGATTGCATGTAATAATCTACTTTTTTGAGGTTATGGATTTGGGGTTCTTGGGGTTTTCATGAGCTGTAAGCCATAATCATCACAATTATGACAAATCACGGCTTGAATTATCTTGCTTTGCATGTAATTAGTCTATCTCATATACAGGTGAAACTCGAATAATTAGAATATCGTGCAAAGTTCATTTATTTCACTAATGCAACTTAAAAGGTGAAACTAATATATGAGATAGACTCATTACATGCAAAGCAAGATAATTCAAGCCGTGATTTGTCATAATTGTGATGATTATGGCTTACAGCTCATGAAAACCCCAAGAACCCCAAATCCACAACCTCAAAAAAAGTAGATTATTACATGCAATCAATAAAACAAGGATTGTACATAGAACAATATCGGACCTCTGAAAAGTACAAGCATGCATATGTACTCAGTACTTGGTTTGGGCCCCTTTTGCAGCACTTACTGCAATTACTTTTGCACGATATTCTAATTATTCGAGTTTCACATGTATGTTGCCACACACTGATACCTTGAGCTTTACACTGAGAAATAATTACAGTTCTACAGAAATCAAAACTAATATTTTTTCCTTTTTGTAAAGCAGTAAACAGTTATGCAGATAATGAAAAGGCAGATGCCTAAGGAAGTGAAACAGAACTATGACACAGTCTGAAGAACAACAGCGGTGACATAAAAAAAAGGTATTGCAGGGGAGATATATCAAATAAAAATCACATGCTTCAGCTCGTTTTTTGGAAAATTCCCAAATAGTCTAAAGCAAATGTGAAAGTGTGAACTTTAACCTATCAAATAGAGCATTCTAGAGTAAAGTAATTTTTTAGCCCAGAACATTGCTAACACAACCCTCCACCTACATTTGGAGCACACATGGGGAGCGTGTACTGGCCTTTTATTAGTTATGTATTTTGCAACAAACTGCACATGGACAGGGCAAAGGTTAGCAAAAAAAGGTCAAGGTTAGCTGGTGGATGCCGGTCACGCACTGTGTACATACTGGGCTTCACTTCAATTCTTTTAGATCACAGATCTGTGTCACTTTACACAATCACTGTAGATTCAACAGACAGGAGGGTCAGCTGGTCATCGCTGGCATTCAGCCTTCAGTCACAGTAAGTACATTTTTTTGTAAATGACCATTGTTGATTTCGTAGACTAAATATCTTTCAGAAAAACTTTAATATCTTATATTTCTCCTTATATATGTCTGAACCATTCTCATCAGTAAAATAATTTATATGGTCCAGCTTTTATCTAGAAACAACAGCAGCTTGCAGTTCTACAGTTATTCAAAAAAAATCCTACTTGGAGAGCAAACCAAACATTTTCCAATTACCATCTGGAACTGGAAGAAATTTCGGTATGGTTGCTTATTCCTCATCCCTACATGAGCAGGGTATATGGGTAATCTACAGGGGAGCAAGGGAAGATGTTTTCTTTTCAAACCACTATGGTGAAGACATCTATTGATATCAGCCATTAACCAGCATATATGAACTTTCAGGACCATGAAGGTTTTCAGTAGAACTATCAAGGAACATCAGAAAATAGACAAGAAATACATGTAAGGCTCTGTTTTTAAACTTGCTTAATTTGCCTGTATATATCAAAGGAGTTCAACTATGACAAACGAGCATATTCTTCTATACCAGAATGGCTTGCATTGCGTTTCTTGTTTCTGTACATTTTGTTTCATTCATTGTTGTTTCCTATTATAATTAGGTATGCTAACATGAGAGCTGTTTTTGTGCAACCTACAAATTATACAATATAATTTTCACCCTCACTTGAAACATCTCATCTGAAATTACCAGCCTTAAAAGAGAACTATGGGGTGAGTGTGTTTCTCCATAGTTCTCTTTACGGTCACGGGAGGACATATACTAACCTCCTCCCGTGACCCAAAGCTCAGTATATAGTGGTCTATTGCCCTCGATATACTAAGAGTGCCGCAGCCCGTATGGATCACGACAATGCTGTCGAGATCCACCTAGGTGCGTGAGTGAGCTATCTAGAGGCAGAGCCAGCTGTGCCCACCCCCTCCCCATTCTTTCCTCCACTCAGCGCTAGAGGATCAGAGAGGGGAAGGGGGAATACCTGTGGGGATCGGTGACTGACAGTTACCGCTCACTGCAGGGAGATGATCGGGAAGTGAGCAGATTGGCGGCATGCTTCTGCTCACTTCCCGATCGATAGAGCCGACTTGTGACAGCTTCTTTGTCACAGGTCGGCTCTAACTATGAGGATTAGTGGAAATCACTCACCTCATAGTTCTCCTCAAGTTCAGATATTAGACATGTCAATATGGTATTGTTTAAAGTATATATAAGGTCTGTCATTACTGATCTGCTTCTGCAAATTCTAATGCTCCGTTACATTGCTGCTAGAGAACTATACTAAGAAATCTTCTAACTACTGTCCATGAAGAATTAATATTCAGAAATAACCACCCCTCCAAATTACACTTCATCTAAGCCTTGACTAAGGGTGATTACTCTTATAAATCCTCCTGTTGTGATGAATAAAAGTTCATATCTGGACCAATCCCTACGGCTTGGCACTTGCATCCTATTACACTACACAAGCTTATCTTTATATCTGTTACAGGTCAGCAGGAGAGGTCAGCAATCACAGATTACATATTTCTCAATATTAACAAGTATGAGTTTAAAGTAGGGATACAGCTTTTTTTTACTAGGCAAAGTGCAGAAACCAATATCCAGCAACCAGACTTAAGTCAGTTTATTATAGTCATGTAAATTAAGAGATTATTTTGGATTGGTTGCTTCATCATCTTCATATGTATTAGCTAGAATGCATGCTTTTGTATTGGATGGTCCTCTTCCACACTGATGTCTTTTCAAAGCAACGTTGGTAATAAATATGTATTTCTGTTTATTTTTATTGAAGGTGTTCACGGCATCAGAAGAACATCTTCAGTCCAGTTGTGATATATTTGTCAAGACAACAGACAATTAAAAAATGAAGGGCAGCTCAGAAGATTTGTCCACAAATATAGTGCAGCTGAAGAGGGAGATGTCACTTCTCCACTCAGTGAGCATGGTTATTGGGAACACCATTGGAGCAGGAATATTTGTTTCACCAAAGGGAGTCCTTATGTACACTGGCTCTTATGGATTGTCACTCATTATCTGGGTGCTGGGAGGAATATTCTCAGTAATCGGATCCCTCTGCTATGCTGAACTGGGGACAACAATTACAAAGTCAGGTGGAAGCTACATATATCTAAAGGAGTCATTTGGAGGATTTGTAGCCTTTTTATATCTATGGAGCAACATGCTAATAATGTCTCCTGCCAGTGAAGCTATTCTGGCTGTGACATTTTCCCAGTACGTCATTCAGCCATTCTTCCCAACTTGCACTCCTCCCCAGTATGCAGTGTTCCTGCTTTCTGCAGTATGTGTGGGTGAGTATCTCAGTGTTCTATTACTAAACATAGAGCTGCATTGTGTTTGATTCATATTAATAATGGTACTAATCTATGCTGAGTACCATGCATGTTTTGTTACTAAATCAAATGGATAGTACAGATAATACAAACCAAAACTCATTCCATTTTCATCATATACTTAACAACCTTTTTGTAAGCCTGCAACCATCCAAAACAAGAATCGAGGATCTGTTGTATTGTTGTCACGAGCATCCTACCCCTTAATAATATTTGAGGCAGTGTAATTGTTGGGGGCCCATGTGCAGTTGTAAGGTTTGGGTCTTGAATCAATATTACTGCTACTTAATTGCTCACCTATCTTTGGTATGCCTGCCTTATGTCAGTGTTATGTTCAGCCAGGGTATTCCTAATAATGAGGAAGCCCGAGGCAGTTGTCTCAGGTGGCATCTATTAGGGTCTGGCCAGAGTGCCCAGGTTGATAAGAGCTCTTAGCAACCTGTGATGACAGTGATCTGGGTAGGACTACACATAACATGCCAGCATCACTCTCCCCCAGTAATGTGCACCACTGGCTACCACCCCAATCCCCATCCTCACCCCAGCCAACCCCACGAGCTCAGGCTGCAATAAGTCTAGGGACACCCCTGTGTTCAGCTATTGACAATCTCTGCCAAATGGTCAGTGGGAATCTGCATTTTACCTATAACCTATTACTTGTCCCAGCTGCCACCTTTCTTTCCTTGGCAAAGCCCACCCCTAACTGTACAACTTGCACAGTTAACATTATTAATTGTAACCATACCAGTATAAGTTATCATTATGACAGTATCTATTAGCATTTCAGCATGTTATGGTTTTGGTCACGGTAAGGTATGTTTCTAGGGAAAAGAGAAGGCCAGTATCTGACATCATGTGGTTTCTTCAAGGAAGCCTCATATCCTATCCGAATATTAATGAGTCACGCATTATTTCACATTGTTCAACATTTTTTGCACCATACTTATTGCATTTTATGTGTACGCTTGATATACGGTGGTATACACACATAGGTGTGTTTTGGGTTGTTTTAGTGTCTATTTGGAGATGAGATTTATGGGTTATATTCAATTGTTTCACAATACGGGGAGATAGCGCGGTGTATTAGTTTAACACTTTCTTGGCCACATTACTTTCTGGCTTTGTCTGTCTTTCGCTGCAGCTGTCAATTATTTACAATTAAAAGGGGGGACATCCACAAGCGCAAATATTAACATCTATAACGTTTTTGGGGAGGGATTGGCTCATATCCTATTAACTTGTAGAGTAGACTGTTTTTCTGTTTTTCCTGCACCCTGCACCTTTTGTCTTTTTCCCTTTCCACCACTATTTAAGCAAATACATGGATGTATATCCTCCATCGCTGTTCTTAATCAAATATAATGAAAAAATATTTGTGAAATAAAAACTTTCCCTATATCGCTATAACAAAAAATCACATCCACACTTTTACTGTAAATGCAGCTGTAGTGGATCATACTGTTTAAAAATTCTATAAATACATTAGTTACATGTCATGAAATTAAACCACCTGTCTGGCAGGTGGCTTATGTACCATCCTGGGCAATATGAAATGAGCAGCAGTGGCGTCGCTACAGGGGGGGCAAGGGGGGGTAATTGCCTCCCCCTAGGTTATCCCTTGCCCCCCCCCCCGCTAACAGTGGCGGATCTGAGTGACATGTGCAGTGTGCACCTGCTGCTTGTGCGGTCAATCATTTCAAATTCTCAGACGCTGAGTCTGAGTGATTTCAGATCACTCAGACTCAGCGGTCACACATTTCAAATTCCGAGGCTATATGCCGTGGAGCCGGCTACGGAGTTGTTGTTTTATATGTTTATTTGTTTTTAAAAAGTATATATAAAACCCCTATGCGTTGCCTTTAAAACCGAATTTCATCCTGGGGGAATGTGCAAGTAGGAGTTTGTGAACCAATTTATTGGATGCCAGCTTCCCAAATCATGCATTTTTGATCTTTTAGGTTCCCCTCTTTCCTGGAGAATTCTCCTGCAAGAATTGTTAGCAGTCACTGGCGGAACTACCAGGGTCGCAATTGCGACCGGGCCCTGGCATCCCGCCTGCTGGGGGGGGGGGGCCCAGCGGGGA